CGATGGCGGTGCAAGGTGCAGTGGTGGGGGTGGAGAAGGGGTTCGGTGGGATGGAGTTCATGGGTTGCGGGATAGAGAAGAGGGCGGGGGTGGCATTGCCGGTGGTGCTGCCGAGAAAGGATGGCGTGGGGTACAATTCAGTGGTGCGAGGCAGCTTGGTGGCGACGGAGTGGAGGGGATTCATCGCCGGGGCGCCTCGCGTGCGGGAGAGGGCGGCGACGCTGCGAGTGCGGGCGGGCAACGCCGACAGCGACGGGGTGAAGTGGTGGGAGAAGGACGGTGGCCCCAACTTTCGGGATGTGCACTCGACGCAGGAGTTCGTGGATGCGCTGGCGAATGCCGGGGAGAAGCTGGTGGTGGTGGAGTTTTACGCGTCGTGGTGCGGGTCGTGTCGCGCGCTGTACCCGAAGCTGTGCAAGCTGGCAGCGGAGCACCTGGACGTGGAATTCATGAAGGTGAATTTCGAGGAGAACAAGCCGATGTGCAAGAGCCTGAACATCAAGGTGCTGCCGTATTTCCATTTCTACCGCGGTGCGGAGGGTCGGTTGGACGCGTTCTCGTGCTCGCTGGCGAAGCTGCAGAAGCTGAGGGACGCGATTGCACTGCACAACACTGATAGGTGTAGCATTGGCCCGCCAATTGGGGTGGGCAACATTTTTTCGAGCGGCAACAAGGATCAAGCCGCCGCGGCGTCGACATCGTCGTCATAGTACAGTGGGCATGAATGGTAGATAGAGTAGGTGTGGTAGTCTGCGAGGGGATTTTACAGGCATTCAAAATTTTCCAGAGGTCCCCGAGGATGCGGGATGCTTTGATTAGGGCTTGTAGGTTGTAATCTACGTGTACGCATAAGAGTGACTTAATGTAAACATAGTAACAGATTCAGTGGGCGACTGTTGTTATAAGTTCTCTTCGGTTTTTTTTTCTTGGTATCTGCATCTGGATTCGGGATTGCAAGGTGTGAGTGGGGCAGGACAACGGCAGCTTGGATTGCCAATTGCACGATTGTGAATTGAAGGTCGTCATGTGTGAGGTGATCAGTTGGGCAGGTGAAAAGGTGACGAGGCGGGCTTGGATGGTGAAGCCATGACGAAGACGTTGGGTGGGATGAGGCGATTTGAGTGGAATGAGGTGTAGGTTAGTAATGTGGCTGTCTTCGTGGTGTGCTTTTTTTGTGCTGTATTTGGCACCGAGAGGGAGGAGAAGTTGTGTGTGGCCATGTTCATGCCCGTCAGTCCGTGCATCCTTGAGCGCTCAGAGAAAGACGTAGCATTACGAGTTGTGAAGTTTGGGTTGCGGATGTCTTTGTTACTGGTTCGAAATAAAGATCTTGTCCAGTTTGCCGTGCATTGGACACGGTGGCGAGATTCACGGCTTGCACAGATTCAATTGGCCGTAGGCATCTATGAGGTTACGGCAACACGTTCATCTTCGAACGACATTATAGGGTTTAGTTGGTCTTTCTGCGAACCTCCTTTTTCCATAGAAGAACACATGAATCCCAGCATTTCAGTATGTAGGTCGTGTATTTTATGGTATATTGTTGATAATCTCTTGTTGCTCAAACCGTTTTGTATTTTATTGACTCTGTTGTAAGTCTTAAAAGATTGCAAGAACTGTATATAGATTAAACACTCTTATATAGGTTGAAGTAGATTTTGCTTTTATTAACTATAACATGATAAGGAAGAGGGTTTGTTTATTTTATCTTAAAATGAAAGAATGTTGTGCAAGAAATGTTAGAAATTTCAACCTGAATACCACAAAAATAGACTATATTGAAGTTCTTTATGCACTTCTATGTTGAAGCTTATTTATTATGTTAGTTTAGAGAAATCTTGATGACCACTAATGTCTTAAGAATATTTAAAATTTTAAAAATAAGAAAGTTTTTAAAATACCATTCCAAAAGGAAGAAAGAGGATTATTTTGTAAAAAAAGCTATATTATATTTTATCTTATAAATTTGATTTTTTTTAGTTTATATAATACATTATTTTTGGTGTGCCTATCTATACCAAATCATAATATTTTAAATTGATAATAATATAAAATATATTAGATATATAAATATGAAAGATATAAAAAATAATATATTATCATTTGAAATAGATAATTTTATCTAAAAGAAAATTTTAAAGTTGTGTTAAAATAAGTTATGGTTGAAAAAGTGTATATAATAGATGTCATGGAGGTTTTATCTAAGAAAAAAATATTATAAATATTATCTACAAATTTTTCAACAAAAATTATTAAATTTATAATTAATTAATCAATTAATTCTTATTTGTATATATTTAAAGATGTTTATTTGTTAAATATAAGTTTGTTTGTTTGTTTTGTTTTGTTTTGTTTTTTTTTTTTCATCTTTAGACAAAAAATAATTTTTTTTATTAAGATATTCCACAAGCTTTGTTGTTTTTTTAGAAAAATACATAATAAGAAAGATAAATTATATCAAAGATATATTTTTAGATTTTTATTAATAATTGGAATAAAAAAACATATTTACTCTAATAATTATCTAGTTAATATGATTAAGTAGAAGTAAATAAAAATAAATAATATTAACAATGTCTTTTGATAAAGTTTCTTAAAAACTTCATAGATGTGACTTTGGTTTTTTACATGTTTGTAGGTAATTGGTAGATTGAAATCTTGACCAACAAGTTGGCTAAGTATTGCATACATGTTAGTAACTTATAAAAAAAATTGAGCATGTGGCGCACATATAAAAAACTTGGCTTCTAAGTTAGACACATGTCTTATAAGTTAAACATCTGTTGAAGGTCCTATAAAATGTTGTTATATAGCTCCTAGTTAGATGATATATATAAAGATAAGAGTGAAACCTTCTTCACTCTTATCAATCCCTTTCTTGCTTCTAATCAAGTTTCATGAGTTTCTAATTTCCTAATCTTTAGCATTAGCCATTATAATTTCTTTTTGAATATATATATATATATATATATATATGAGAAATATCTCACTTGGTTATTTATATTCTTAAAGTTCTTATCCTTGACAAATTGACAAGAATATATGTCATGAATATACATATTTACTATGATATTTACCTATTTGATTAAGTATATAAAAATAGATTTATTGCATAATATTTTTTAGAAAAGCTTCTTAGAAGGTTTATAGATAATGCTTTGACTTTATATGTGTTTATAATTGATTAGTAGGTTAAATACTTGGTCAACAAGTTAACTATGTGTTGGCAGCTTGTGGGAGAAGCTAACTATGTGACATACATATAAAAAACTTGCCTTGCAAGTTAAGATATGTGTCTTACAAAGTTAACACATTTTGGAGGTCATATAAGACATTGCCATATAATTCTTATTTAAGAGTATATGTAGAGACAAGAGTGAAGCCTTTTTCATTCTTGTCAACGACTTTCTAATCTTTAGTCTTATTTCAAGCTTTTCTAGTCCTCTTGTCTTTGGCAATAATCATTCTAATTTAATACCATATTATTTTTGAATGACTTTCTAGTTCTTTTGAGTGATACAAGAGTGTATTAAGGATTTCTTTCTTTGAGATTCATATCTTTAATAGTTTGTAAGAATGTTAACTTATTGTTTATATCTTTTTTTAAAAATGAGTGGATTATTTTACTTCTATTATTGTATTTTGAAGATTGTAGACTATCTATCTTTAAACAAATGCTATTATTTTTAAACACCAATTATTTCTTTAAAAAAAGTGGATTATCATTCTTTGTGGAAATTTTCATTTGATATTAGAGGTTGTAGATTATCCTCGTCTAATTTAACTTGTGAATTTGTTTGAATTGTTTATGGAAGAAAAGATTATGGATCCTAGTCTAAGCGAAAGTGAGAATAGATTTGGAACTATTGCAAATCTTCATGAACTTGTCAATACTTTAAGAATAGAAATAACACATATTTCCATTGTGAATCATAGAGGTACTATTCTTATGCATATGGAAGAAGTTCAAAGTCTGTGTCAAGAAGTTGTGCATTTGAAGGAAGTAAGTCAATTGAACTTATAACCATATTCAAGAAGTTTTTCTTCTATAAGTATGAAGGAGATAAGAATTAATATGCTTGAGAAGTTTGATGGAATAAGATCAAAATTTCAAGGATTTTTGCAAGAAGTCAAGCTCTATCTAAGGTTACATCCCTTCCAATACCTTAATGGATTTACTCAAGTTGGATTCATAGGCACACTTCTATTAAGAAGTGCTCTTTTTTGGTTTATACCTTCAATAAAAAAGAATTTATAACTCTTTTATAATTTGAATTTATTCTTGAAAGTATTTAGAGCCACATTTATATAAAGTGATAAAAAAAAAAATAGAAGAGACGAAATAAAGATCACGATCAAGGATTACAATCAACCACCATATATTCTGTTGAATTCCAAAACCTTCCTTATAACATAGATTAGAATGATAAAGTCTTTATCAATCAATTTTGATATGAATTAAAAGTTAATTTCAAAGATTTATTATTGATAATGTCAAAAGTAAAATCTTTAAAATAATTTATTGCTAAAGCCATTACATGCAATAATTAATTATTTAAAAGACATCAAAAAGAAAGACTTGGCTGGAGAGGAAGAAGTCAAATAATATCGACAGCTTCAACAATTTCAAGAACTTATTCATCAAAGCTAAAATCAATGCAAATTGATATGGTACATTTTAAATTCTTCACAAAACAGGAAAAGATTTGACAATGTCAAAAAGGCTTATACTTATATTGTAGAAAAGCTAAATATATTGTTCAACATTGTCCAAAGAAACAATACAACCACAAAATGAGAAGCATGGTGGCCAAAAAAGATGATGTGTCAAAAAACAAGTTTCTCCAACTATAATAGGAATCATTCGACTAAAATCTTACATAATTCTTAGTAAAGGTTCTATTCTCTCCTCAAACTTCTTACCTTGTTTTATACAAAAGTTTATTTAGGACCAAAAAATCATGAAGTCTTAGCTTTGTTAGATTTAGGAGCTTCAATTTTTTTTATAGAAAAAGATTTTGTCAAAAAATAAGAGATATTGTTAATTAAGAAAATTAAATCCATACATGTAAAAGTTATAGATGATCATTTGCTATCTTTTGGAAATATTATATATGAGACTGTTCTTTTAGATGTAGCAATAAAAGATCATAATAACATAGTAATATTTAATATAATAAGTTCTCTGTTAATTTGATTATTTTAAGATTATCTTAATTGAAAAAGTATAATCTTCAAATAGATTGGATTTTTTTATAATTATAATTTTTTTGGTAGTTTAATCCAAAATCTTATTAACTATAAAAATATATATATATATATATCTATATATATATATATAAAAGTCTAGTTCATTCAAAATCTTATTAATAAGTGCAAGAGCTTTCATGCATGCTGCAAAAAAAGGGTCATCTTTTGCTATATATGCCATATCCATTTCTGATAATAGAAAGACATTAAGTAATATTCTTAGTTAATATCAAGATTTCCAAGACATTTTTGAAAAGAAGAATATAGATTTATGAAGTACTTGAAGTTGATTGGATTTATTAAGTATGTATAATTTTTTTTATTAATCTAAGAATGCAATTGACAGATATCTGGGTTTTGGTGTAAGAGGGTATTAGAAATTAGCAGTTTGGAGTTGGATAGGATTTCTATAATATCTAAAGATCTACTAATCAAATAAAAGTGAAATTTGGCATGGTGTTAGAAGACTATAATATCAAGCTACATACTAATTTTGAATTGAAGTTAATAAGTAAAAATGGAGGAATTTCTACTAGCATATTTATATCAACTTTCAAGTTGATGGCTAAGTAACATCAATGCAGTATTTGGATTTTTTTTTACAATCTATAAGTTGGATTAAATTAATTTTTTTTTGAATATATAAAAGACTTATAGTAGTATTTGTGTATAAAA